TAGTAATGGCAATAAGCATTAATAGTAATGCGGTGAAGAATGACTTGCAGGAGAAAAATATTCAGTGAAAGCCCTCCTAACACCTAAATGAATTGCCACTTAAGAAGAAATGAACAGTATAGAGATCGAAGGGGAGAGTATTACAAGCAGAAAGAACGACAGAGATAAGAGTAGCGGTGGGAGAAACAGGAAGGATGGCAGTTTCACTGGAGTCTGGTGTGTGGGAGGAGCTGGAATTGGTGAGTTTAGCAAACAGGCTAGTGATTTCTGCTGTGAAGCTAGCACCCTTTCTCTACTAAAAATAGGATGTTCCCTTCAGTAAGTCAAAATCAAATTCTGAGATAATAGAACCAGTCTGCATAACTAAATGAATATTATAATAACTTAATAATGCTGTAAAGGAATCATTTAATAGTTCAATACTTACTGCCATTGAGTTAATGCTGACTCATAGTGACCTACCCTATAAAACAGGGTAGAACTGCCTTGTGAGTTTCCAAGACTAGCTCTTTACAGGAATAGTTCTAGCAAAGTTTCTAGTTGAACAAAGTATAAAACAAACCAAAGGGAAAAAAACCAAACCCACTGTCATCAAGTTGATTCCAACTCATGTAACCCTCTAGAACAGAGTAGAATCTCAGTGTTGGGTTTACAAAGCTGTAAATCTTTGTGGAAGCAGACTGCTGCATCCCTTCCCATAGTATACCCAGCCCAGCTTTCAAATGAGATACCTATATACTCTTGTAAAAGCCGAGTTTTTCAGCATATTTTTAGTGCAGTTTTTGTGGTAAAATTAGTTGCTTCAGCTTATACTCGAGTATATATGGTAAATAATAATCTGAAACTTCCCCTCTGCCACTGAGTTTATTCCAGCTCATCACAAATCTGTATAGGGTTCCCAAGACACTAAATCTTTGTGGGAGCAGACAGCTTTATCTTTTTCCTGCAGAGCATTTGCTAGGTTTGAATTGCCAGCCTTGTGGTTAGCAGCCCAATGCTTCTCCCACAACTCCACTGGGGTTCTGAAGTTTAGCAATCTAGAAATATTCTATATTCAAATGAAAACCTCTCATTTTGAAATACCTAAGAATTAATAGGCACATGTTAAATCCTCTCCCCTTTCTGTGTGCCAAGTTCAAACAGAAGTCCGACATTCCCTCCTCCATTAGTAATATAATGAGATCTTTTCCGTGTATAATCCTGTGAACTCAAGGTAGCTGTCTCTATGATTTTTCTTCGGGTGTACCAGTGGCCCAAGCCTATAACACTAAAGCACTACACAGGTACACGCAGCACATGAGAACTGATGCTCATGTCAGACAGTACCAAGCCGTTACCAGTCAGTTAACCCACACTCACCGCCCTATGGTTGATTCCGAAATACGAAGTCTGTACAGAGCAGAGAAGAACCCCATGGGATTTCTGGGCTCTAATGTTGACGGACACAGATGGCCTCATCTTTCTCCAGCGGAATGGCTTTAAACTGTCAACCGTTTGGTTAGCAGCCTAACACTTAACCCACTATACTACCAGGGCTTCTTTTACCATTCATTGACTCCCTGGGTAATAGCTTCCAACTATACCGCTTAATCAATATTTATTGCCCCTGTTTCAGAAGATCACTCCTTTGTCTCTTCCCAGGTTGA